CATCCAGATCTAGTTGAGTTTCTAGAGCTCAGATCTCCATATTCACTCCTTGTTTCCTGATTTCTCTTCTTAAGAGTTTTCTATTTTATATTAATAAGGAGATCTGAGTTTTTTGGGCATTGTAAATCTCTTTAGGATTCATAAAAAAGTACGATTTAAGAAAACCTAGTTTCAAGTAAAGGGAGCTTACTCTAGATGACTATTATTATTCACTTAGATAATATAAATCTACATTTAGCTGAGAATAGAGTGATGTATAAATAAATCTTAGGATAGAACATAGAGTATGTATGACTGAGAGAATTTTTTGTTGTTTCAGTGAATAGTATGAAGCTAGTTGTTTCTGGAAGAAATGTTTAAAATGTTATAATGTAATGTGCTAAAAATATTTTATATATATATATATATATATGGAACATTTCAAGTGAGAGAAGTTTGTTATTACGAGAAATGAGAGACATTAATAATGGTCATGAGATCAAAATAAAGAGTTTAGATTTGATATTATTACCCCACTATCCACTTTCTTTTCTCTCTTGTCAATGGCTATTATTAATGTCTTTCACCTCTCACTTGAAATGTTCTCCTATATATATATATATATATATATGGTTATGTTGCATCATGCCAATTTTATCATTCTAAAACTGAGTTACATATTTAGGTGGTTAGACATGTAATAGTAAGAAAATGCTTAGTTGTGTTGTATCTGTATCCAGATATTAGAATGGGTCACTCCCAGAACGAAGAATTGTAAGTTCCTTCTGAATTACTTAAGCTGTAAAATCAATTAAAACTGAGCTGTTGCATTTGCATTAAATGGGCTGAGAATGAGTTGAATTGCTGTATTGATTTTTCTTAATAGTATTTATACATTAAGTTGTACGAATAATTATATTATATTCTTTATTTTTTAATAGCTATAGCTATTTGTTGTGTAAACTCACTCTTACATTTCTATCTATATTGGTGTGTATTGCAATGATCGTATAATGGTTCATAAGCAGGTATGACAAGTGGTGCTTCCACTTCCTAAGCTAGAAGGTCTGGCTTAGAAATGTTTGAGCCTAACATTCTTTTTAGAAGATTTGTAACTTTATTTATTTTGTTAGCCTAACTCTTGAGTCTAAACTATTTAACTACACATTTGGTCATAAAATATAATTTTGATTATAATTTTGTATTTTTGAAACTCTATATCAAGCAGCTCTTATGTAAATATTGCTAAAAGATAATTAAATATGTAGATATTCAAAATTTTATAACAAGACCTTATTTTACCATCAAGATATGATTTTTATTTTATTTCTGTCAATCTTTCTAAGTTAAATTTCAATTCTTTTAAATATAAAAAATCTATATAGATTTTAATTGGATAATATATCACATATCCTTAAAAAAAAATAAAAGATTGTAAAAATAGACAAAGTCCTTAATTTTAATTTAAATTTTTACCAACTTCATTTATTGAAAACAAATGACAACATGATAAATGTTTTATAAAAATTATAAAGTATTATTTTTAGTCTTATTTATAAAAAAAACAAATGTCTAATTTATCAAGAATAATAATAATAATTACATATTATAAATTTATTCTATATTCTAAAAGTATTTATAACATTAATTAATGTTTTATATATTAAATAAATAAATACCTGCTTATATAAATAAAGGGTTAATATTTTGATAATACAAGTTTCACAATATATATATATATATATATATATATATATATATATGAACTTTCTGTGTTAGAATTTCAGATAAACAAATAATAATAATAATAATTTAACAGAAAAAATTCATTTACTATGCTTTAACATAATAACTGTCTTTTTTTTATTTTTTATTTATGAATGTTTGAATTTCAATCTTTAAGTTAACAAAATTTTAAATTAAAATATAAATTTTTTAACAATTAATATATTTAAAATATAATATTTATTTGTTATACTTTAAAAATTTGATAATCATTTTTAATAAGTAAGACCAAAACTAATGACTTATAAAAGAAATTACTAAAATGTTTTTGTCGCAACCGGGCGATCGCAACGGTACGACGGATGACAAACTCGTTCCAAAATATCAGAGGAGTCGCCACCAAAGTTTATTTTTAAGAAAAACCTTTGAAAAACTTAAATATAATACGATCTTTGAAACCAAAAAATGAGTTCGGGAGTCATTTACGTGTAGGGAAGGTATTAGCACCCTACAACGTCCGTTTAAAAAATGGTTACCTAAAATTAATTGTACAAAATTATTCTAATTTTGAAAAATATTTATTTAACCCCTAAACATTAATTATTTTATTTTAGAAGAAGAAATATTATTTATTGAAATATTATTCGGGTTATTTTAAAAATTATTTTGACTTGACGGGTACGGTTCCCGCTCCTACGTATCCCCGGATGCAATGGGGAACTCAAAGCCACGTAGTTCTATCTAAAAATTATGAAATTAGTTGATTATAATTAAGTTTAGTAAAAGAAAATTTTATTTTAGAATTAAAATCATTTTTCGTAAAAATTATAATGTTTAGGATACAAGATAATGCAGTTATACATGTACTCTACGAGAAAACAATACAGAAAGTGAAGGAAGATCACACAACTATACTGCAAATCATTAAGAAATATTTTATTCGTAAATGGAGTATTTGAATTTGAATTTTGATTATGATTAATATTGAAAGAAATTTAAGATAGCGTAAGCTATACATAAACTTCTTATAATTTATTAGACTATCGAAGGCAATGTAAATTACACATCGATATTATAAAAATTTATAAAATGAATAAATTATAGTAATTTAATTTATCAAAATTTGAAACATGACTTAAGAAAATAAAAAAAAAATTTATTTGAATTGATTAAAGAAGATACTCATTTAATAAAAAACATTAAAAATTTTATTTGATAGATTTATATTATATAAAACCTAAGGTAACGTTGGTACACATAGATTTTGACAATTTATAACGCATAAAGGTAGAGTCGCTACACATTAGTATTATAAATTATTTCTTAATAAAATAATTTAGATTTAAATTAGTTGATTGATTTGTAAATTAGTATTTAGAAGAGAAATACATCTTGCATTATTATTAAAGTGATTAACTAATTAATTAATGACAATATGTGATAAGTTAATATTGCATAAAGTCTTGGTAACGTAGGTACACATGGACTTTATCAATTTATAATACATGACGATAGAGAAGCTATACGTTAGTATTATAAATTGATACAATTATATTATTATTTATTAATTAATTATAAAAAAATAAGTAATTTAGTATTCACAATATAAAATAAATTAATCATAAATATAAAATTAAATCGCATTAATATGATACAAATATACAATAAATAAAATAAAAGATAACAATCCTAAAAAATAAGATATAAATAATGAAATATAAAAAAGGAAATAATTTAAAAAAAATCAACTCAGATATGATATTGTAAAGTAAACAATATCAAGAGATTTTAAATAAATAAAATAAAATAAAATAATTTAAACAATGTTAACATAAAAAAAATAAAATAAATAATAAAAACTCATTCATTAAATAAATTAATAATTATCATAATAACAAATAATAATGATGATGAATAAATAAATAAAACTAAAACAATAAATTATATGTTGAACTAAATAATGATAAAAATAAAATAAAATAAAAATTCAGACAAAAAAATAATAAAAAAATAAAACAAGGATAAAATGGTCTCAAATTTTAAATTTTTAGATTTGAGAGGGAAGGACTTTAGGGTTAGGGGGGTGTGCTTTTCTCCAAGAAAAACAAAAAAAAAAAAGGTTATGAAAGGGTGGAGGTGAGGTTAATGGAGGCCATGATTTTGAGTGGTGAAGGTTATTGAGAGCAAAAGGAAGAGGAATGAGACAAGGTAGGGAAAGAGTTTTTTTTTATGGTGAGTTTTGTGTTTGTGGATGATGATAGATGGAGGAATGAGTGGAGAGGTGGTTAGACATGGATATTTGAAATGGTGGTTTAAAATATTTTTTTATCATTTGAGATTGATTTGATATAGGAAATGTTTATTCAAAATATAAATATGTATGAAGAAGAAAAATGTGTAAAATGTATGATGAAGCTTACTTGATGTTCTTGAAAATTTTTGCTTGCCTCTTGTTCTTCCTCCTTTCCGCTAACCTTTCTTTCTCTCTATTTTCTCTTTTTCTCTCCCCGTTTTAGAATGCCTCCTCTCAAAAATTTTTTAGCCTCCTCTGATGTCTCCTCCTGCTCCATGGTCCTTTTTTCCTTTTATTGTTAGGTTTTCACAAAAGGCCCAAAATTCTGAATTTTTTCTTTTTTATGTATAAAATAACATTGGTTCAAGAATTTAATTATTTGTCATATTCTATTTTCCTTTTAAAAATTAATTCTGAAATTTTCTTATTTTATTAAGACAAATTTTTGTTTTTTTTTTAAACCTTTTGATTCCATTCTTCTTTTGTAATATTAAAATTTAAATTTTTTTTATTTTTTATTTTTTTATTTTTATTTTTATTTAAAAAAAATATTTAAATCAAAATTTTAGTATTCACAGTTTTAAAATACATCGTATACAAAATATAAAAAAGGAATAACAAGTTTTTAATACTAATTTTAAATATAACTTTTAAAAACTCATTAACAATTAAAACCTTCAATTTTAAATACTTTGAAATTCTGTACTTTTGTTGACATGCTCTTTAATATTAGATAAAATTTATTAAAAAAATTAAAAAATATGAAACAGAAACATTAATTAAGAATAAAAAATAAAATCTAAATAATAAAGTGCGTGTGATACCGTGTTTCTGTCAACTAAATCCTGATAATATTTAAAACATAAATAAAAATCAGACGTAACAAGTGTTACCAAGATAAAAAATATATATATTTAAGTTATTGTTTTTTCATGTTTTCTGAAATAACGCAGTAAATTCTCTAGTTGAACAGAAAAAGTACAAAGTGAAATAAAATTCTACAGCTTATGCGTCGATTATACTTGTACTTTTAAACAGAAATAGTACAGTGGGCACAAGTAACGGAGCTAGGAAAGGGCATTGCCCACCCAAACTTCACAGTTATCCCTAATCCAATCCCCACATTACCCCTCACATTCCTCCCTTTTTACATCACACTGCAAGCATTTGGGTTCTCATCGCTGAACATCTGCGGTGGGTACTGTTGGTAATATGCAGCAGGGTACACTACTGATGCTGGGCATGCATACACCTCCATCCCATACCTCGGCGGGTTATAGAAGTATTCGTTTATCTTCACCTCTCCAACCTTGTTGTTCTCTTCACCAGGTGCTGCCTCTTCCTCTACTTTCCCTTCTCCTTTTCCTCCTCCTCCTTCTTCTTCTTCTTTCTTCTCTTTCTTTTCCTCCTCTTCACCACCCTTCTTCTCTTTCTCACCTTCCTCTTCTTTCCCTTCTTTCGCTTCTTCCACTTTCTCTTTCTTCTCCGCCTCTTGCTTCACTATCATTGCCTGTTTCCCAGTTCGCTTGTACACGTATTGAACCAACATCGCAGGATCGTACGCGCCCTTCACGCTCACTTCCGAGTTCTTCAGATCCGGTTCTGCTGATTCCACTCCTGCATAGTTATCCAAAAATTATAACATTATTATTAATAAATAATACAAAATCACTGAATGTAATATAAAATATTCCACCAAACCACAAATTAAATTATGGGTTTCGGTATTAATTAATTGCAATATTAAATAAGATCATAAAGTTACAGAATTTGACCTCAACTGCATCACCAGACCTGAAATCTCACGACTTCTTATTCACTGAATTTAAAGTAATGGAGTAGTGGAATGAATTGATGGAATGAGAATAATGAATATGAATAATATCTTTCCCGTGGGAGAGATTCAGATTCAAATTTCACCCAGTGAAAGCACAATTGTACAAAGTTTTTGTTCGGTTAAATTAATCCAACAACAGAGCTGTTGCATGAAACAAAAAAGAAGAGATTAAGCTTAATAGTAACTTGTTACACACCCTTCATTCTCTGTATGCGTCTCTTGATTTCCTGGGCGCAAGCTTCGCAATGCATGTGAACTTTCAGAACCGTCACAATCTGAGGCTGTGAAGTAGTGAAAAACAAACGGGAAAAGCTAGCATCATTTCACAGAATCAAAGAGGGGCAAGCAAAGTTAAACAAAAGAAACACCTCTTCTTTCTTCTCTTCGGGTTCGGGCTTGGGCTTGGGCTTCTCTTCTTCTTGGGCTTTGTTCTCCTCGGGAGGTTTGGGGATCGGAGAAAGAAGCTCAACCTGTCTGTGACTCTTCCTCTGTACTCTCTCCAAAACCTTCAATGGATCCGCTTTTTCACCCTTAACAACAACCTTGTGAGATTTGCAATCAGTGACGACATCTTCAACTCCTAAACTCAAACACCAAAACAAAGTGTTCAGAAAAAGCCACGAATCAAACGATGCAAAGAAGTGAGACCCACAGTGATGATACCTGGGAATCGTTTGAGGGAGCGACGAACCTTGCGAGCGCAACCTTCGCAATGCATGAACACTTTGAGCACAATCTCTGGCGGTGGCGGTGGTGGAGCAGCTTCGGTTTTGGATTCTTTCGGTTCTTCCGGTTTCTCCGCTGGTTTGGCTTCTTCTGGCTTTTCTTCTTTCTTCTTTTCTTCTGTCTCAGGTATTTTCTCCTCTGGTTTCTTTTCTTCCTAAACAAACGCAAAAGAAGGTAAATATCAGAACAGGGAATGAATTTTAAATATATGAAGAGTGAAAACAGAAAAGTGATTCGAGAAAGAGAGCTAGAGAAGCGTTGGTGAAGACCTCCCCCATTGGAGTTACTCTCTGGGTTGAAGCTAATCAGAGGGACTCTGATGCCGAGATAAGCTCCGTGGAGCTGCTACTTTTTGCTGTTATTTTCTTCCCCTTGTTTGTTTCGGTTCTCTTTCTCTTTCTTTTGTGTACCACTACTAAAGTACTTATATAAGATAAATCATTTTTTAAAATTTGTTTTCTTACACTACTATTTTTTGATAATTCATTTTGTTATTTTGTAGTATTTTTAAATATAAGTAAAATATTAAAAAAATTAATATGTATTATAAGTTTGCTAATAATAATTAAAATATCAATTAAATAGCAAAAGTGCACCTGTTTGAAACTTACAAGTTTAAAAATTTGTTTGATTTTTTATTTTAAGGATTATTTATAAATGATTTAGTGATTATAAATGAAATAAGATTTAATAAATTTTTTTAATATTTATCAATAATGAGAAAGATTTATTTTCATTAAATAAATATAGAATGGATTTGGATAATTAGATAAAAAGAATTTTGAGTTTAAGTATAACTACACTTATTCTTCACACCTATCATACTTTTTATTTTTAATAAATTTTAATTAATAAAAAAAAATATGTTACTAATATTCTTTTTACATAAAATAATACTAGTAACACATATTTTATAATAATTTATTGAAAATTATAAAAATTATATGAATTTTATTTTTTTCTCACTTTTAAATTAATATTTTTTTTTTAGTTTTTAGTTTTTCATAAATTTGAATTAAAATTTGAATTTAAAATTATAAGTTAAACTAAAATAGCCCCTATCAATTGATTCATGTGTTTAATAATAAAATAATAACTTTAAATTCAAATCTTAAAAATATTTTATTTTGTACTTTAAAAAATGCAGTACACCTGAAGATAAATAAATTGAGTCACGTATTAGAATTTCTTCTTTAACTTACATAAAATCTACGTATGGTAATATTTATTAATTAAATAATTTATGTTATTTTTTACAAATTCTATTAACTTAAAAAGTCAAGTTAAGTATTTTGAAAAGATATTTAAGACTAATAGAAAGTTTTATTTAAATAATAATAATATTTAAGTATATATTGTTGTTATAATTATTATATTACTTTTTTTATTTTTTAATATAACATGTTTATTCATTTATTTAATGATTTTATTAATATCAAGTATTTAAGATTAAAAGTTTTTTCATTAAAAATTTAAATATTTATTATATAAAAATCAGTTATATATCATAAATTTATTTTATATTTTAAAAATATAAATAATATTAACCATTGTCTTACCCTACTTTCGATTCTATTGATAAGAAAAAACTACAAATATATATATTTTTTCTAAATATAAAAGATAATAATTTTTTTAAGTGTATTAATTATTAAATTCTTTTTATACTTTTATTTATAATAAAATTTTTGTTAATAAGATATTATTTTTTATTTATGAAAGTAAATATATATTTATTGAACTATTTAATACCATAAATATTTTAAAATTAAATACAAATTTATAACATATAACTATCAAGACCAACGAAATACTTGTTTCTTATAAATATAACAAAAAGTTGTACATTGAACGAACGAATGTGTCTATTTATATAGATAAAAAGTGAGAGTATTTCAGTAACACAAATTTCACCATAAATAACAATATAAAAAAATATAGCAATTGATATATTTAAAAAAATAATACTATATTTCTTTAGATAAACATAAACCTTTAAGTATTTTTATTCAATCTTTTTCATTTAACAACTTTGATGGCAATTACAATTTGTGTTGTCAAACTAAATAATCTTGAATTGGACTACATATGACAAAAATAAATAAATTATTAAAGTAAAAATAGAAATTAAAACAAGAAGAAAAATAATAAAAACAGAGATAAAGAATGACACCACAATTTTAAGATTAATAAGTCAAAAGAGCGATCACAATAAGAGTTTTGACCTTTTGATAAAATAAAAAAAAATTGATTTACTAAAAAAAAAACTTAGAGTTACATACTCTCACAATAATGTTCAATCTTAAATTGTATTTAAAATTAATTAAAAGAGTGTTTACAAGAGCTTATATATATGTATGTATATATTGTGCTCATAAACTATTAACATAAATCTTAATGGGCTTATTGTACTAACAAACTCAAATAAAAAAAAACTAAATAAAACAATAATTTTTTATCCTAAATAAAAATTTAAAAGTAAGCCATGTCTAACATTTAAATAATTATACTAAATATAGTAATTAAATCCTAATGAGATTCTTAGAGTTCAAGTTCTCTACGCATATGCAATTGATCATGGTAGGTTCTTCTAACTTTAAATTGAGTTTACTTTCAAATAAGATAACAAATAGTCTCATTTATTCTCTTTGATTTTGTTCTTGTGATTGATCTTTGAAGTCCTTTGAATGTCTTCAAACATTTATCTTCAATGAGTCTTCTTTAATTCTCATCGAAACTTTTTTCTATAAGAGAGAAAAATATACACAAAAAGAATGACATTTTAATGTTGATATGGATTTTTGTCACTTGTTGCTTTTCTTTTTCCAAAGAAGTGTCTTTTTATAATAAGGATGTTTAGGTTTACATTAGACATTATCAAATGTCCTTTGCACTTACTAAATTTCTCTATTATAATTTTGTAATATTTCTCAAAGTTTTTATTTTTGTCTCATAAAAAAAGAGAGCATATATTTGGCCAAAATATTAAATTCACCATAAATTAAAAGCACTTAAAAGGAGCCTATTGGGTTCCTTTTATAAGATTTCAAAATCCTAAAATGTTTTGATGGTTAGACTTCTCGTAAATAAACACAATCGTGCATGTGAGTCAAAGTAATCCTATGCTGACAGCTACAGTATAGAGGTGCTGGTTGCGGCAAAATTTTATGTTCCATTCAAATTGGGTCCAAAATGCACACAAAAATCTAACCATATTCTTTAATATTAAGTTGCATAGTTAATATTTAAACTAATGTAAAATCAAATAAAATAATAGTTATACATAAATATATAGACTATAAAAACATGTCGAAATACAAAATTATCATACTCTTTAAGCAAAAGTTGTCTCCTTACTTATTACACAAATTTTTATTTGGTATATTGCCACCATCCAAAAGCATGCTTTGTCTATAATCCAAGGCAACTCGACCCATCTTTATCTTAATATTTAATAAACTTTGTCTTTCATGTTAAGAATTGTTTGTAACCAAAAATATTTGTTAAAAGGTAATAAAAAGATTCTCAAATTAAATTTTTAAAATATTGTCCTACAAAAATTATTTACAATTATTAAGACTATCTTGATTTAATTACTTAAATCAAAATAGTACATAATACAATAAGATAAATTTAAAAAAAGAATTAATAAAAAATAATGAAAAGAGAGAAATATAGATGCAACTTTTGACCAAAAAATTATTTGAGATCATCAACTAATTTAATCTAATACAAATCATAAAAATTAAATAAAAATTAAAAATCAAATCAACCTAAAACCAAACAAATTAAAAATCACAAAAACAATATTTATTTTTATTAGATTGAAATAGATTTTAGATCCATTTTAAAAATCAATCCAATCCAAACCAATTTTCTAGGTATATATATAACTTTATTAATAAAATTAACATTTCACTCAGTTATTTATTAATAAAAGTATATAATAGTTAACTTTTTTTATGATTTAATTTTAAAATTTATACCATATTATTAATTTTTAGGGATATATTTTAGTATTTTTATAATTATTTAAGTATAATTTTTAGAATAATTAAAATTATTCTTGTATATCATACTTTTTTTTAATGAATTTTACATTTTATATAAAAAGGTTAACTATTTAAAAATAATGAAAGAGAAATAATAAAATCATTTATTTATTATTTTTTGACTAAATTAAAAATATAAAATAAAATAAAATTATCCAATCTAATTCAAATCACTTTTGATCGGATAACTCTTATAACTAATCCATCTAATTTGTGAATACTCCTACTACAACATTCAAAATCATTTTTCTTAAGCTCTATATATTCAAAAAGAATTCTAAAACAGTGAACATACCTTTTTGTTATTTGGCGTTAGAGTTTAGATTTTTTTAGACTTGCAAAGTCTAGTAACATTAAAATAATAAACTACTTATAAACACACAATATCTTTCTAAAGTTTAAACTATTTTCACTTTAAATTAATTTACATTCATCAAATTTTTTTATTAGGAACAAATTAATAGCATAGTAGCAGCAGAACCCAGATATTTTCAAATGCTTAAGTGATTACGATTTCAAAATATGAACACATATGCACAAACTTTGTTTAGGAGTATTTGATTTTGATAAATTATTTTCTTTTTTTGGCTTGATCGATCAGTTTGTTAATGTGTTTGAACTCCATAACCTTGTTACACTAACCATTTGCCCTCTTCGCCTAGAGTATTAGCTAGGTTAACCTTCTATTGCTGTAGACAAATATTCCCTCAATAAATTTGTCACAGATTAATAACACATATACCTTTATTTGTGGATTGTGTTAACCTAATCTATTAACAAATCAACTTACACTCAAAAGAAATATCTTTGTTGGAAAAGATTTGATCTTACTCTCCACAAACATACACTTTATTTTTTAAAATACACATATTTAAGAGGACCCAAATTCCTTCACCAAGAGAAGATGTGAAGCCACTAACTATATCCTGAGTGTGGAATCACATTACGTGATGGCCTCTTATGGAGGCACGTGCAGCGGAGGAGGAGCATGCTTCGAACACATGGTTCTCGGAGGATGGAGGTTATGTTAATGCTTGGCATTTCCTAGGTTGTATTGGACATTTTCGGAAATCAGTGGAATCTGTTCCACTGTGGCCCTAGCCACCTTCCTCTCTTACACCTTTTAGATTCAACAAAAAGTACAATTATATCATTACAGTTTATTTAAACACAAGCAAGTGTTCTTTCACTCTATGATTCATTCACTGAACTCTACCCAAAAATTAGATTCAACCCCCTTAGTAACTTGGGTATTGGGGAAAACGAAAACAAACGAAATGGCACTGCTAAATCTTATCCGTCCAAAAACGTTATGGTCTGGCTTTTGGCACTGACTATA